GTTAACATTTTGCCCCCTTTGTTTTATCACTTACTTGATCCATCCATCCATCCTTCCTTCCATTCATCCATCCATCCATCTAATACGTTTTTCTGAATCATTTGAGAATAAGTTGCACACAGAATTACCGTGTACCCCTAGACACTTAAGTATCTATTTCCTAAGAGTAAGGATGTTCTCTTACATAACCGCAGTACAGTCATCAGCTTCCATAAATTTAACAATGGTACAATACTTTTATCTAATCTACCAACCCTGTTTCCATTTTTGTCAATTGACCATATAATGGCCTTTATAACATTTCTTGTCCCTCTAATACAGGATCTAGTCTAGGATCAAGTTTTGCATTTAGTTGTCATATCTCTTTGTTCTTCTTGTTGTTAGGTGCTGTTGAGTCAATGTCAACTAATAGTAACCCCATGTGACAGAGTAGAACTGCTCCATAGGGTTTTCTAGACTGTAATCTTTACAGGAGCAGATTGCCAGGACTTTCTCCTATGGAACTGCTGTATGGGTTTGAACTGCCAACCTTTCGGTTAACAGCCCAATGCTTAACCATTGGGCCACCATATCTCTTTAGTCCCCATTAGTCTGGAACATTTTCTCAGACCGTTTTTATATTTTATGACACTGATGTATATATTTTTATATTTTATTTTATTTGTTGTTGTTGAGAATATACACAGCAAAACATGCACCAATTCAACAATTTCAACATGCACAATTCAGTGTCATTGATTACATTCCTCAAGTTACGCAACCATTCTCACCCTCCTTTTCCCAGTTATTCCTCCCCCATTAACCTAAACTCACTGCCCCCTAAGATTCCTGTCTCATCTTTCGAGTCGCTGTTGCCAGTTTGATCATATATAGATAGATTTTTAAAAAGCATAATGCTGAAGGCAGACATTCTTTACTAGTTAAACTAAACTATTGTTTGGTTTTAAGAAGACTTCAAAGGATATTTTTCATTTAAGGTTTAAAGGTTATCTCAGGGCAGTAGTTTCAAGGGTTCATCCAGCCTCCATGGCTTCACAAAGTCTGGATTCAATGTGAATTTGAAATTTTGTTCTATATTTTCTCCCTTTTGATCAGGATTCTTCTATAAAATCTTTGATCAAAATGTTTAGTAATGGTAGCTGGGCACCATCCAGTTCTTCTGGTCTCATAGGAGAGGAGGCATTTGTTCTTGGAGGCAATTAGCCACACATTCCGTTTCTTCCTCCTATTCCTGACTCTCCTTCCTCTGTTGGTCCAGGAGAATAGAGATCAATTGTTGTACCATTTGCAAGCTTTTAAGACCCCAGGCACTATGCAACAAACTAGGAGATAGAGCTGAAGTACTAAACATGGTATTAGGCCAGTTAACTGGGATGTCCCATAAAACCATGACCCTAAACCTCTAAAGGATTGACACAGTGGCTACAACAATGGGCTCAAACATCACAATAATTGTAAGGATGGCTCAGGACCAGGCAGTGTTTCGTTCTGTTGTACATAGGGTCTCTATGAGTCGGAACTGACTCAATGGCACCTAACAGCATAACAACGACAAACCTCCAAACCAAAAAACCAAATCCCATGAGGTGTTTGGTTGCACATAAACAGCCTCAGCAGCTGCTCTTTTTGTTGTTGTCGTTTACGACACTGATATTTTTGAGGTTCTGCCCCATTTTTAAAAAATGACGTGTTCCTCTTTTTGTGTTTGTATGATGTTTCCTCATGATTAGATCCAGGTTATATATTATTAGATTTAGGTTATACATTCCTGGCTGGAACACTGCATAGGTGATGTTGTGTCCTCAAAGGATCATGTCTGGAGGTCAACGATGTCCACCTCCCAGGATTGGAGATGTTAATTTTGATCACTTGGTCAAGGTATCCGATTTTCCACTGTAGTGTTACTATTTTTTCCCTTGAAACTAATAAGCAGTCTGCAGGGAGGCACTTTAAGGCCATGCAAATAAATGCCTTGCTCCTCATCAGAATATCCATCCCCACCCCTAGATTTAGCACTCATTGATGATTCTGCCTGAACTAGTCTTTACTCTGATGGTTGCAAAGCAGTGTTTTTTCTAGGTCCGGCTCTCGTGCCACATTTACCAGGTGGTGCTCAGCATTCTACTGTAAGCAAGAGCCCGCTCTTCTCTCCTATTTAGTTATTTCTCCATTTATTATCAGTGTGGACTCAGGGAGCCCTGTTTTCCCCCATGGTTTGTAATTCATTCTGTGTTTAATTTTGGTGTTCAGTTGTCTCAGATTTGGCCAGTGGAAGCCCCTTCAGGCCAGTTCCCATGTCCTTGTGACATCCCCATCTTTTTTTTTTTTTAATTCTTTTTTAAAACACTTTCTTACTTTCTGGCATAATATCATATTCCAGGCTTATCTTATACCTGCCCTGCCCCAGCCATGAAATCAGTCGTTTCTCTGAGGAGACCCAATTCCTTTCAATTGGGAATGATATTGGGGATTTGGGCACTAGATTATCCTATCTTCTGACAAGAAAAAATTGCAGTGAGAAGTAAATACATGGTTGGGTTTACTCTTCAGATTATTTTTGCTAAGGTAATAATTGAAATTGACTAGATGCAACTAACAACAGCAGTAAATTTTTAAGTGAATATATACTTAAAATAGCTATTTTTGCAACTGTTTATTGTAGAAACTTCAGAAAACATAGTTTAGTAAAAAGAAGAAAATAAGTCTTTAATACCACTTTTAAGGATTATTTTGAAGACTTCTAGCTTTTCCTTTTTTTTTGAAGCTATAATGTGTGTATCAAGACTTCTGTTTATTTTTGTCTTTTTTTATTGCTATGCTTTAAGTGAAAGTTTACAATTCAAGTTAGTCTCACATACAAAAATTTATACATACGTTGTTATGTGACCCTAGTTGCTCTCCCTATACTGTGACAGCACACTCCTCCTTTCCATCCCGGATTTCCCGTGTCCATTCAACCAGCTCCTGACCCTCTCTGCCTTCTCATCTCGCCTCTGGACAGGAGCTGCCCATTTAGTCTCATGTATCTGCTTGAGCTAAGAAGCACATTCTTCACGAGTATCATTTTATGTCCCATAGTCCAGTCTAATCTTTGTAAGACTTCTATTTTAAAAAAGTTCCATGGTGATGAATTTTTATTGGAATGTACAGGATAAAGCCTGTTAAAACATGTGTATTTAAAATATTTTGCAGTACACAAAAATGTCAGCAAATCATTCCATACAGAATGGTTTGGTATACAGTTTTCAGAAATTTATTGATTGATCCCGTATTTTATAAATATATTCCTGCATCATTTGCTTGTGCTAGCAGGAAAATTGCAATACATAAGTATATGTTGTTATTTCAAAAGCAGTTGTCTTCCAAAATTAGTACTGATTCTGGTAGACGTCTCCTTCCGGACCTACGAATATAACTGATAAAAATGTCTTGTACCCAACTTGTTCTGTACTTTCTATGCCCTCTCTATTGTGGAGGTCTTAGGGTAGTAAAATAGTTTAATTGGCTTAGTCTGAAATATAATATCACCTTGGTATTCTATCTGCCTGGTATTTCCTAATCTTTTATACAGTGAACTATGGGATTATTTTGTGTGATTAAAAGGCATTCTACTCAGCATAGTGTTTTCAGATTTCATCCATGTTGTAGTATGTACCCGGGCTTCATTTCTCTCTATGGCAGGGTACTCTCTGTTGCATGTATATACCACGTTTTGTTTATCCATTCATCTGTTGATGGACATCTGGGTTTTTCTCACCTTCTGGCCATTGGGGATAGTGCTGCAGTGAACATTGGTGTACATGTGTCTGTTTGTGTCACTGCTTCCAGTTCTCTTGGGTATATACTTAAGAGTGGAGTTGCTGGATCGGATGGTAACTCTTTGTTTAACTTTTTGTGGAACTGCTGAACTTTTCCACAGCAGCTGTGCCATTTGCTTTCCCAACAGCAGTGGATGAGGATTCTGATTTCTTCACATCCTTACCAACATTTGAAATTTTCCTTTTTTTTTGTTTTTAATTTTTTTTTTTGTTCTTAGCCATGCTAGTGGGAGTGAAGTGGCATCTCACTGTAGTTTTAATTTGCATCTCCCTAATGGCTAATGAAGGAGCCTTAGTGGCACAGTGGTTAAGCACGTGGCTGCTAACCAAAAGGTTGGCAGTTCAAACCCACCAGCCGCGCCACAGGAGAAAGATGTGACAGTCTGCTTCTGTGATGATTAACAACCTTGGAAACCCTACGGGTCAGTTCTACTCTGTCCTGTAGGGTTGCTATGAGTTGGAATGTACTTGATGGCAATGAGTTTGTTTGTTTTTTTTGTTTGTTTGTTTAATGGCTAATGACGTTGAGCATATTTTCACGTGCTTGTTGGCTGTTTGTATATCTTCTTTGGTGAAATGTCCATTCAGGTCCTTTGCCCATTTTTCGATTGGATTGGTTGTCTTTTTGTTAAGTTGTAGGAGTTCTTTATATATTCTGAATATTAAACCCTTATCCGACATACGTTCCCAAAAATTTTCTCCCAGTCTGTAGGTTGTCTCTTTGCTTTGTTGATAAAGCCCTCTGGTGTACAGAAGGTTTTAATTCTGATGAGATCCCATTTATCTGTTTTGTGTTTTGTTGCTTGTATTTTCAGTGTCAGTGTTATGCTGAGTGAAATAAGTCAATCACAAGAGGACAAATATTATATGATCTCACTAATGTGTAATACCTAGAATAAGCAAATGTACAGAGATCAGAGTTTAATAGTGGTTACCAGGGGTGGGAGGGAGGGGGAAAGAGGGAATGATTGTTTAGGAAGCCTTGAGTGTCTGTTTATGATGATAGAAAATTTAGCAGCAGATATTGGTGATGGTTGTACAACGTGATTGATATCATTGGTCTCACTGAATTGTACACGTGAAAGAACTGGCAAATGTGTTATCTATGTTTCTACAACAATGAAAAAGTTTTTTTTTTTTTAATTTAGAAAGGCATTCTAATACAGTTTTTCTTTATTCCAGAGTGGTCTGCTGTACTGGCCGTTCGTACAGGTGAGTTTCAAACCTACCTAGAATGCTAACTCACGACTTCCACTTATATGGGGCCCTAACAGATTCTTTCTTCTGTTCCAGCTGACCAACTTCAGCCTTGTTCCCATTCACTGGAGAACAGCCTACATTGGACTCTGTGGCTTTCTCTGGGCCACCTTCATTTGCTTTTCACAACAAAGTGGTGATGGCACATTGAAGTCAGCTTTCAGCTTCCTTCGTATAAAGGAGGCCAATGCAGTTAAAAGGCCCCAAGAGAAATGAGAAGCCAAGGACTCCCTTAGAGTGACTACATTTTTTCCTAAAATTCAGTGGATCACGTGCAGATAAAATACTTCCTTTACTAGTTACGTGCTTCATTTTGAGGAATTACTATCCCATAGACCTATTTCTTTATTAATTATCAATGATAATTTAAAATTTGATTTAAACCGCCTCTTTCTTCCATTCTAGTCTGAAATTGTAGAAAGTATAGGACTTCTCCTATTTTCACTTTCTAATATTGTTATTATCAATGACAGGGACAATATGGCACTTCGTAATTATTAATACTTCTCGTCTAATATTTTAATGCCAGTTGATGTAAGAAACCTAGTTTTGATTGTTTACATCTCTATTCTAAAGTCTCAGGTTGCCTTCTAAACACTTTTGAGTCAGATTACCTTTTGTACCAAAAATAGTCCTTATAGTAAATTTTTATTTACATGGAATTCAATCAAGGAGAATATAGAATAGCCAGATTTTTTCCCCAAAAATACTGTATAATAATTTATTGTTACGATGATACTGAAGTTCTGTAAATACATTTTGTATCATCCAAAAAAGAAAAAAGAATAGCACATGATCACTGCAGTGTGTATCAAATATATTTTATTGCTTTCTTGTACTTTTATAATTTCTAAGTTAAATAATGTTTAGTTAATGCTTTTTAGTTTTAAGTATATTTAATTGCCTAAAGCACCCCATTTCCTAGACATACAAAATAAGCAAAACATTTGGCATCTTTTTTTTTTTCCTTAACTGTTCATAACCTCGTATTTTATTTATTTCAGTTAAGTATTTACAGTTATTTGCCATTATAAAAATACAATGGGTAGGCAGACTGGAAATTTAAGGCTATACAATTCTTACTTCAAAAAGACAGTCCGGCTCCTTGAGCTGCGTGTACTTTTCCAACAATTTCCCAAAGGCTTTAAATAGTCCAAGATGTTCCACATGGAAGTGATTCCACAACACTCACGTACACAGACAACAGTGACAGCTCTGGACACAAGGTGACCAGGAGAACTCAGTATCTGTACTTGGTGAAGTAGTCCTTTGGAGACACGACCAGCCCTCAGGTCTTGCGTGCCCCTTGTAGACCGTCTCTATGATGTCGATCATCTTCTGTTCATCCTCCGTGGCCCAGTTAATCTTGTTGTTACCAGTCCCCAAATCAGTCATTATGTGCTTGTTCCTGAAGAAAAGCAAGACAGTGCAAGGACTGTATAACTCATACGTTTCGTTGAAGCCAGGTGCTTCTTCAGTACCCACAAGGTAAATAAAATAACTGCAAAATTTTTAACTTTAAAACAGCTGTGATATCCAAACGGGGCTCATTACATGAGGAGAATGATCCTCCACTATCTGCCATTTATTAATACACACGAAGTCTGTTTCCTAGCTAACAGCATCCTGCTGAATATTGCTTAGATCGGGAGAGCCACAACTTTCGTGTCTAGCCATCCTAGCCTCGCGCTGATGGCAGGGGTCTGGGCATCACTCGATGTTTATGTCGCCACCTTTTCAGGTGTGCTCTATAGAACTTTATCTATTTTCATATAAGTAGGATCCCAGTCCTGTCCAAACTGAGTGACAGCAACATGGTCCTTCTCGGAAAGCATGGCCTGGTCCACCTGCCAACCATTGTGTAGATGTGGAAGTGTGTACGACATCTCCAAATAAGAAGAAACAAAACTGACCTGTAGATCTTCCAGAGCCAAAGCTGCTGTACATTTGGCTGCTGAATGAGATAGAGTGAATTAAGTTTTTTAAAAATCTAACATTTTTTTCCTCTGGAAGGAAGAATTGTAATGCACAGGTTCCAGAGAAAATGGTTACCCCAAATTTCATGTTAATGTTATGTTTTTTAAAATCAGTGCTTTAAATCTTTATACTTTAAGGTGGACATGAGAAACCTGATTCAGTCTTTCAGATTGTATAACCTCAAAACCAGTGGGTTTTAAAGTTGTGGAAAGAACTCATGAAGTTTCAGCAAATTTAACCTCAGAATTAAACCACAATTCTATTGCCTTCAATGGAATATTTCATGAATTTCAAGATATGAAGCACTGAACTGTTAATTACTTCATCTTAAGAATTTATATTTAAGATTAATTTGATTTTGGCCCTTTCTTCTTTTTGGATGTGTGCATTTATTGCCATAAATTGACCTCTGAGCACTGCTTTTGCTTTGTCCCAAAGGTTCTGGTGGGATATGTTTTCATTCTCATTTGATTCTGTGAATTTCTTTATTCCGTCCTTAATTTCTTCTATAACCTAGTAGTTTTTGAGCAAGGTGTTCAGTTTCCATGTGTTTGATTTTTTTTCCATGTTTTTTCTGTTAATGATTTCTACTTTTATGGCTTTATGGTCAGGAAAGATGCTTTGTAATATTTCAGTGCTTTGGATTTTGTTAAGGCTTGCTGTATGGCCTAATATGTGGTCTATTCTGGAGAATGTTCCATGTGTGTTGGAAAAGAAAGTATACTTGGCTGCTGAGATCAAGTTGGTTGATTGTGGGATTTAGATCTTCCGTGTCTTTATTGAGCTGCTTTCTGGATGTTCTCTCCTTCATCGAAAGTGGTATGTTGAAGTCTCCTACTATTATCTTGGAGCTGTCTGTCTCTCTTTTCAATGCTGTTAGAGTTTGTTTTGGAACGCTGTCATTGGGTATGTAAATATTTATTATAGTTATGCCCTCCTGGTGTATTGACCCTTTAATCATTATATAGTGTCCTTCTTATCCTTTGTGGTGGATTTTACTTTAAAGTCTATTTTGTCAGAGATTAATATTGCCACTTCTCCTCTTTTTTGAGTGTTGTTTGCTTGATATATTTTTTCCATCCTTTGAGTTTTAGTTGGTGTCTTTAAGTCTAATATGTGTTTCTTGTAGGCAGCATATAGACGGATGATGTTTTTTTATCCAGTCTGCCACTCTCTGTCTCTTTATTGGTGCATTTAGTCCATTTACATTCAGTATAATTATTGACAGGTATGAGTTTAGTGCTGTCATTTTGATGTCTTTTTTGTGTGTGCTGTTCACAGTTTCTTTGTTCCACCTAATTTTCTGTGCTAAGTCGTTTTTCTTTTTATGTATTTTCTTCTCATCTTTTTCATTGTTGTTGATTTTGTATTTGCTGAGTCTTTATGTTTTTCTTGTTTTTTATTTTGATGTGTAGGATTGTTAGTTTCCTTTGTGGTTACCTTAATATTTACCCCTATTTTTCTAAGTTTAAACCAATCTTTTATTTCTTTATAGTGCCTTGACTTCCTTGCCATATGAAAGATCTGTGACTACATTTTTTTAGTCCCTCTTTTTTGTTTTAATGTTGTCATCTTTTACGTATTGACGCCTCTGTTTCTCTATTTACAGAGTTTTAGCTTTGATTTATTTTTGTGACTTCCCTATCTGGGTTGATATCTGGTTGCTCTGTCCTGTGTTCTAGTCTTGGGTTATTAGCTGATGGTATTGATTTTCTAACCAGAGGGCTCCCTTTACTATTTCTTGTAATTTTGGTTTGGTTTTTGCAAATTCCCTAAACTTCTGTTTATCTGGAAATGCCCTAATTTCACCATCATATTTTAGAGACAGTTTTGCTGGATATATAATTCTTACTGGCAATTTTTTTCCCTCAAGGCTTTATATATGTCACCCCATTGCCTTCTTGCCTGCGTGGTTTCTGCTCAGTAGTCTGAGCTTATTCTTATTGACTCTCCTTTGTAGATGACTTTTTGTTTCTCCCTAGTCACTCTTAAAATTCTCTCTTTATCTTTGGTTTTGGCAAGTTTGATTATAATATATCTTGGTGACTTTCTTTTGGGATCTACCTCTTGTGAGGTTCAATGAGCATCTTGTATAGATATCTTCTCATCTTTCATGATATCAGGGAAGTTTTCTGCCAACAAATCGTCAACAATTCTGTCTGTATTTTCTGTTTCCCCCTCCTGTTCTGGTACTCCAATCACTCGTAGGTTATTTGTTTTGATAGAGTCCCACATAATTCTTAGGGTTTCTTCATTTTTAAAAATTCTTTTATCTGATTTTTCCTCAAATAAGTTGGTGTCAAGTGCTTTATCTTTAATCTCACTAATTCTGACTTCCATTGCCTCAATTCTGCTTCTATGACTTTATACTGAGTTGTCTAATTCTGAAATTTTATTGTTAATCTTCTGGATTTCTGTTTGCTGTCTCTCTATGGATTCTTACAGCCTGTTGAATTTGTCATTATGCTCTTCTCTAATCGTCTTAAGTTCCTCTGTTCTCTTCATCTGTGTGTTTCTTGGCTTCTTCTGCATTTTGCATGATCTCCTTCCTGATCTCTTGAAGAGTTCTGTATATTAATCTTTTGTATTCTACCTTTGGTAATTCCAAGAAGTTCTCTTCCTCTGGAAGATTTCTTGAATCTTTGTTTTGGGAGCTTGCTAAAGCCATCATGGTCTGCCTGTTTATGTGATTTGATATTGACTGTTATCTCCAAACCATCAGTAAGTTATTGTATTTATTTTCTGTTTGCTTACTGTGTCCTAGCTTCTTGTTTTGTTTTGTTTCGATATGCCCAAATAGGCTGCTCGTGTGAGCTAGTTTGATTATTGTCATTGTCTTTGAAGCTCTAGTGTCCTGTCACCAGGTGGTTAGATCTGTTTGTAGGTATCTGAGCCCAGGGGTCCATACTTTTCTTGTGTTGATTCAGCTCAGGTGTTCAGGTAGTCAGTTGCCAAATGTGTGGTGCAGGCTCTCATCCAGAGTCCTAGACAGGCAAGGGTGATTGGAGTAGGCACAGGTATCTGGTTGCAGTAGGGGACCACTCACTGAGCAAGGCAGAGGGCTGATGGCTGCCCCCGAGTGTCTGGGAGGAAAGCGTGTCCTTGTTCCCTAGAGTGCATAGGTGTGTGAGTTTTGCAGCCAGACTATGAGCACCCAGTGCTGTGGCTGTAAGGACTGGGAGGCACCAGTTATTCTTGGACTCCTGTCGCAGATAGCTAGGTGGTGTGGGTGGAGCCACGAGTCCTCAGGCCCCTGATATGGGTAGGTGAGGACCCTGCTGAATGGGCAGAGCAGTGTCAAATGTCACAAACCTGCCACTCAACTGTATAGCTGATACAGTTGAAGTTAGGCTTCAGGTATATGCCCTGTTGTACTGTGCTAACGAGGGCCTACCTTGTTGAAATGGGCCCACACAAGTCTACGCGGGGGTGAAAAGCATTCAAAGTCCATGGACCCTTATGCCTGTGCCTTGGCAAAGG